CACACACACACTGTTTTAACTGTTTTAAGTGTTGTTTTTTTATATATGTGATCTGTTTTATTGTTTTTAATTATTTTTGCTTTCTGTGAAGCACTTTGTGATGTTTGTGTCTGTGAAAGGTGCTATAGAAATAAAGTTTACTTACTTACTTACTTACATTTTAAAATGGCACAGTGTCARATGCATTATTTATGTCAACAGGTTTTAAAAAGCAAGTAAATGCATTAATAAAGACATAATTTAAAAAGCAAGTGTATTACTAAAGATTTCAGCTCCACATACAATTTTTAGGCTTTTTTTAGTCAGTGTTACAGATGAGTTTGAAGTGCACCCACTGTGCACAGACACAGCTGGGTTCGCTTATGGTTTGTTTTTGTTTTGTTGTTTTCTYTCAGAATAAAGAAAGCGATTTGCTGCGAGACCTGCTGAAAGCCAACGTGGAGAAGGCGGTCAGACTGGAAGTGTACAACTCAAAAACCCAACGTGTGAGGGAGCTGGAGGTGACACCCAGTAACATGTGGGGGGGTCAGGGTTTGCTGGGTGCCAGCGTCCGATTCTGCAGCTTTGACGGGGCCAATGAGAACGTCTGGCACGTCTTAGTAAGTCAAGTGCACTCTTAAGCTTTTGGCAAATAGATGAGCTAATCTTATTTGTAAAATTACTTGATTTATTGAACGGATTTATATAAAAAAATAAACTTTTGCTTTTAAGGATGTGGCATCGAACTCCCCTGCAGCACTTGCTGGCCTCGTTGCTTATGATGACTTCATTGTTGGAGCTAATCAGGTGTTACTAGATGTAAGACATTTTTATTTATGATTGTATTTAAATGTAAAAAACTCATTTTGATGATCAAAAACGAAGGAAGACAAATATATGTGAGGATATTTTGTAATTCTTGCAGTCAGAAGATTTCTTCTCTTTGATTGAAGCCAATGAGGGGAAAGCTTTGAAGCTGTTGGTTTACAACACACAGAGCGATCAGTGCAGGGAGGTGGTGGTGACTCCAAATGGAGCATGGGGAGGCGAAGGAAGGTAGGCCATTTATTTACATGTTGGTTTATTTACTTCTTCCAAGTTACAAATATCTATTCCAAATTTAATAGTGTTTTCCATCATTTATCAACAAGATTATTCAAAATCACATACATAAAAACAGCTGAAAGAAAAAAAAAAACTATAAATGAGGATTAGCAGCATGTTCACAAACATAAAATATCAACAAATAATCCTTTTTTTTTAAATGTCCTAGCTTAGGTTGTGGAATCGGCTATGGCTATTTGCACAGAATTCCAGCTCATCCTGTTCAACCTAATATCCAAAACAAAAGTGTTCTTCAACTGGCGGTTACAGGCGGTGGCGAAGAGGTTGCTTCATTAGACCAAGCAGAAGCACACCAAGTAATTATTCTTTTCGTTCTATCGATTAAACTCTTTTCATATCAGGATGTTTATGACAAGCATTCCTCTCCCATCTCAGGTGACTTCCRTGGCTGAAAGCAGCCCGTCGGATGAAGCCGGTTGGAGTCAAATCGAAGGAGCTGCGCCAAATTTGGGCACATTATCACCCACCCAGCAGAAAGCACACCTTGGTAATCAGGTTTTATTTCGAAGCGAATGGATGAAAATGACTTCTTGGGTGTTTTCACGTCATATAACACAATGTGGTATCATTCTGTTGTCAGAGGTTTCCGACACACCTGAAGCCATAACTTCAGATGGGACAGAAGTCGTTTCCACCTGTGATGAAGGTCACAGCTCTRTCGTTGCTAATTATGGAGACGATACTGGTGATCAGTGTAGCCTGGGTAAGTGCTTCACATGTGGGTGAATAATGCAGCTGAATAGAACAATTAGGTGTTTATAATGATATTTTATTTGAGCACAACAAGAAACACACTTAGGCAGTGTTGTAGTACTCGAGACCTGGTCGCAAGGCCGCTGTTTGGATGGTCTTGTCTCGGACTCTACCACTTTTTTTTTACTCGGTCTTGGGACATGACGACCGGATTTTACTTCAAGACCAGTCAAGATCACAACTGTGCAAACACCACTAAATTACAAGAATATTGTCCGGTTTATTTAACATTGTTGCTTTCATTGCACGTAAAATGTACTGATTCAAATCCAAGCGTGACTCGTCACTAATGGTATTTTTGTTACTGCTGACACCCATCCCTAAACTTTGACTCACAGGTGGCACTCCAAGACAGAGCAGTAATTGTCTTGGAGTGGGAGAAGATGGTTAGGCTCCATGAATCATAAAGAATATATTCGTTAAACAACAGCCAGGAGAAACCATTCAGCAGCTGCAGTGCTTCACTTTCAGACACGGTGGGGTCTATGTCAAACTTTTATGTCACTTAAAAAGGAAGCAAAAAGAAAGTTGAGCTATGTGTAAGTGATGTTAGCAAAGCYAGCTAGCTAACGACAGCAATCTGCCTCTTCATCAAAATGTATTACTCAGACCTCATGCRAAGAAGTTAAGTCAGTATTAGCTACACATATTACGTTAGCTACCTGTGTACAGTATACTGTATGTTTTAGGGACTAGTTTACATTTTTTCTTTTTTCTAGTCTTGGCCTTGATTCGGTCTTACCCTCCCTTGTTTTTGTTCTCGACTTGGTCCAGCCCATAAAAGTCTTGGTCTTGTCTTCGTCTCTATACACTCTGGTCTTGGTCTTGACTTGGTCTCGGGTTAGGTGGTCTTGACTACAACAGTAGCTATGGGTTCATTAAGTTCTATAGTTCTTGCATCATTTTCTGCAGCCTCAGACGACACACAGAGCATCACATGTGTCATCAATGTATTTACAGTATAGTAAAACAGCTTTTTTTCTTTCCTCTATAAAGATTTAAAAATACTTTGTTTAAACGTTAAACATTAACATTTAGCTTTGCCTTTCTGGTGGTTTCACTGAATTTACTTGTTTTATTTTAAAGATAACTCATCTTTTGACCAAAGACCTTCATCTCCAGAGGGAGACGACGACTCGGGCACTCAGCACACAGAACAGGATTCTGGTATAAACCTGACCAGCAGCACTTCTCCCTCCACCARAACGTCAGATAACGCCGCTGAGCTCAAAGTTCCCACAGAAAGTACGAAAATCATCCCAGAGCTGCAGGATCCTAACAACGCTGCCCCCTCCACCTCAGGCCATACTTTAGGGGAGGTGGAGCTGCAGGCGGATGCTGCAGACCCCTAAGAGAAGCYGTTACGTCGTCTCATGTAAAGGACGGTTAAGAGAAGACTAAAAACCTCTTTTTGTATCTTTGGGTTGTATCACTGGAATAACTCTTATTTTGGAAGAATTTTCTTTGAAACAGAGACACTGCTGCATGCTACATTGCACATTTAAGAATGTTCTGTTGACTTCAACGTAAAGAAATGCGAATGTATTCTAGAGTTCAGACATATGAAACAAGATAAWGCCTTAGTTGATTTGATTTGCTGCAAAAAACAAGTTTGCACAAAAAGGCCAAACAAGAAAAATATGCAGTTTTGTTGTTTATAAAGGCCTGAAGTTTGAACTGGATTCTGATGCTTTTGGATTGTGGGTTAATACTTTTAACATTATATACTTTTTGTTTCATGGGCACACTTGAAGATTATTATATATTATTATTTTTTTTGGAACTTGAGCATTTACCATCYAAACCTCTTTGCCTTTAACTGCTGTTTTATTTAATGTTATTAATGTTTGACGTTTGGGTGTAAATGAGCCATGTGTGATGGAGTTCTCTGGACTGTTGTCAGTGTTTTGTCCTTGAAGGTTTTTATTCCGAGTTTTGTTTTCTGCAAGACAGAAAAATCTACATAAAAAGAAGCTACTTTTATTGGAGCGAGTTCATGGTTTCTGACAGCAGGTGTCAGCAAATCTTTCTAATTTCAGATTTGTATTTCTCTGCAGCTGCAAAGATGAGGACATTTTCAGAACTGAATGAAGCTATAGGGTTTCATCTGCTGGAAATAAGATCATGTTAACTACATCTGAGTGCAAATAAAGGGATTTAATTGCTGATGTGAAGCTGCTTGACTTATAAAAGGAAATCTGGAAGCAGGTTTTACTGTCAAGGATCTAGATTTTTTTACCTTGAGTTGCTAAATTCTAGATATTTTTGCACTGGTTATAATTATCTGAGTTAGTTTGCAAGTAAATTAAAAATCATATATGCTAATTAAAAAAATAAACTATAAAAATAAAAATGCAATCAAGTTTGGTGATTTTGTTCAATACCAGATAGAAAGCTGTCTTGTTTTAAAAAAAAACTTATTCGTAAAGCAATCAAAATATAAACACTAATATTTTGTATGCTTCAATTTTTAGCAGCGTAACCAAATAGTAGCAACGAAAGACTGAAGTAAAAGGAGGAATGTGCCTCAATTATTTACAGAGGCACTCCTCAGTTGGAGGGGGGGATGGGCATCATGGGAAAGAAGAGGCCGAGTGGGAGACAAAAAAAGACAAGAAGAAGATGGATTTGTYTTATTCTTCCAGTGTGGTGGGGCAGTGCTTCCCCCCCAGCATACCTGGGAGTCAGTCTGGTGAAGAAGGATCATATTTCCGGTGTGAACGAGTGGGTATGTGTGCCTTTGAAGGTAGTGAGCTAAAATGAAGACCCTTAAACGTGTCAAACATGCGCAGAGGTTGATTTTGATGTCATGCCCAGAGCTGCTTGGTCTCTCTCTGGGAGGTCTGTGACACATCAGCGTTTTGAAGAAGCCGCCCAAAGCAAAAAGCCAGCATCTGTGTGTGACGAGGATCACAGGAGGTGAAGAGGAAAGAAAGGCCACCTCAAGAGGAGCATGTTTTCTCCCTTTCCTCCCTCTTCCGAAACACTTTCAGAGGACACTGTGACGCAGMTGAACCCACACGTCAGCTCAGCTTTATCTCAACCCCTGGGAGGCTCAGTTCGCAGGCACCAGCACTCGGCCTCGCGCTGCAGCATGACAAATTGTGAAACAGAATATATTCAGTGAAAATAAAGAGACGGGGAGTAAGAAGTGGAAGGCGGAACTCTGGTTCTGGAGCTGAACTAAAATCAGCTGAATTTGTCAGTGGATTGGCACAAAGAGATGTTCCAKTGATAAAAATATAAAGCAGCAGCTTGTATATTTATACGACTTTAAACAGACCTCCTTTATGTCTGCATGTTTGGGGACAAGTTCCTCCCAGATTTCTTATCATTCCCACCCCTCCGTCATCGCAAACAAACACGCTGACAAGATGGAAGCTGTATTTAGAAATGGTGGGAGGTGGATTTGCATCCAGTCATCAAACAGTGTTCTGTACGCCAGAGCCTGGGAATGATTGGAGTAAGTGCCTGTCTGTGTCAGACCACCGCCCTGCGAGCTGTAATTACATTCATTCATTCACGCACCAGGACCATCACTCTGGACTGGACTGAATTCATTAGTAGGTTGTTTTGATCTATGGCTGTTGATTCCAGCAGGCTGTGTGTATTGTGTTGATTGACTGACACGGTTCCAGCAAAAGGAACATCCCAGATTTCCTTGGATTTACCCTAAATTACAATTCAATACGTACCTGAGCCGTTTGGAATGTCAGTGTTCTTACAGAAGTGGATGTCTTGTTGACTTCATGGTGTCTTGGAATTTTGGAAATCCTATCTGTACCAGATTTATAAACAAGCAGCTTAAAAGTCATTCTTTGCAAGAGTTCTGTTCATACAAACCAACCAACCAACCAACCATCCAACCAACCAACCAACCATCCAACCAACCAACCAACCAT